CCCGCACGCCAAGCACAGATATACCAGGCCCTTCGACCTTAAGCTAAGGCTTTGTGATACAATTATAATTGTTGGTTACCCTGTCAAAAAGAGAACTTCGGTAAGCGATTTCCCAAATTTCCCAGAAACAAATTCGTTCCACAAAAATTTTAACTCTTTAAAATGCCCTCACTTCCGCAAAAAGCCATTTACAGTATCCTAACCTACAGTACCCCAGCTACCTGAATATGCACAACTTCCTACTCGTTTTCATAAATTTGCATGGCGAGCTAAACGGTTAACAGGCAAATACAGATGTAAAAAGTCCGACAGCAACAGAATACAGTAGCTGATTTCCAGGTTCTGTTTCAGGAACACGTCCATTTTAAGCAAATATATTTTTTCCGAGGATGATAAAATCAGAACTTTAGTAGGAATTTAGTGCTTAACAATCCTCCTTCCACCCCGCTTTCATTGTCATATCGCATTCTCCTATTCTCTCCTTTCTTTTCATAACTGTGCTCTTATGCTGTCTAATACATGCTCATCATCTTCATTGGGAGTACTGACAAGGATTCTCCCTGATGATTGCCACTTCTACCGGTATGGTGCGTTTGATTTGCATTTACAGTTAAGGGATGAAACACAGACTGCATCCAACCATTTCTTCTTGCACGTGATACTTAGACTGGTCTCCTAACTCCAATTTTATTATTATATTAATTTACTGAAAGAACTATAAAAATAATATGGCTGTGCTAACATTTCGAGATTTCGCCGGAAACTTCGACCGCGAAGCCGCAGAGCAGTGGGCCAATCCTTCTTGTCCATTGCATCCTTAACAGCTTTGGTCTTATCGACGCAACTCAAGAGTGGCAACCGGATGATTTGATTGCCATCGATAGACACGACGCATGGTTCTGCCTGTGCATCCATTTCCGTGACTGCGATCGTTGCTTCGACACCCATACGACAGCCAAGCAATCGGTCGAACGCTGAGGGATTGCCGCCTCGCTGAATGTGACCAAGGACTGTCAGTCGGGTATCGTAGTGTAGTGTTTTCTCGATATGCGCCCGGATTGCTTCGCTGACGATTGGCGTTCCCGCATTATCAATTGCACCTTTAATTAATCTGATTAGTGACCGACAACTAAAAATATATGCTGATTTGGACTGGGAAGGACTGCATCAGGAACTAACAGCTATTTCAGA